GCATTTTAAGAATGCTAAATTTTCGGAGTGATCTCCACGAATGTCCACCTGGGGAAAAATAAACATAAATATGTCTAATAAGTGTGCATCAGAGACCATTGCTTATGACTCACAGGCAGCCAGAGGGTCTTTGCACCTATGGGGTGGGTGGCACGGATGGTTCACCATTGGCCTGAGCACAGGACCCTATACTGTCAGAGGAGCTACCGGGTCTTATAATCAGAAGGCTGGCAGCGAGGCCCAATTGGCATGGTATACTGAAGCATGTCTATCTCCAGGAGAGGATGTGGTCTGAGCCTGAGCTGCTGCAGTGTAGGACTATCCCTGAACATGGCTCCATGATTGGGAAAGGCAGCCACAGGGCTTTCTCTGCACCCACAAGACCAGAGTAAGCGGTGCTATCAGGGCAAACACCCTGGTTTCAATTCCCAGTACTGAAATGACACTCAAATGTCTCTTTCAAACAAGGCCTCAGACCTCAGCACTGTAAATAGTATGATAATCGACAGCCCCTGGCTGTTAGTGTGGAAATCAGCTGCAGATTTTCATCCTGACTTTTCTCAAGGTGGTGCCGAGCTCATGACTGAATGAGGCCTGCCTATTTCAAGCTACTTGGAGCTTGTTTAAGAGGGTCCCTGTTTGACCTGGAGCTCACCTAGAGTCAGTGTTCTAGTCCAATTCCTTTGTCTTTTCTGTCAGTAATTTCCCCTTTCACAATAAACTTTTGTATACTAACTCTTTCCAGGTTTACTGCTAGGAGTATCTATCTACCCAGCATGATCATAGGTTTCGAAGCAAACTCCTGTCCTCATAGACAAAGTTAAAGATTCTTATTCTTTCCATAGATAACATGGTTACCATGAGGATAATGTGAGCATATTCAGGAAATTTCTATGCAATTTAGGAAGGCCTTAGGTTTTTGTTAAAGTTTTGTTATAAAGCCATAAAATCTGGTAATGGTGTTACATGACTCTAATCTCAGCCCTCAGAAGGCTGAGGCAGGAGAATCCATGAAGATTTTGAGACGAGCCTAGGATACAAAATGAGTTCCAGGCTAGCCTGTGCTCCATATTGAAATCCTGTTATATGGGTTATCAAACAATCCTCAGCAGTTTAAAAAACCAAATGGTAATTTTCAAGCCCTGCCGAAGTGCTTACAATGTATATGGGTTTCTATAGCTTTAATAGTTTCCAGGGAGTAATTCCTACACTTCAACATGTTGACAAATGAATAAAGACCTAAAGTATTGTAGAGTACCTTAGAAAGTCACCCTAGAAATGATGTTTCTATTATTTCAAATATAATCATTACATTGGAACTAATAGTGTTTAGACAAGATATCATATCTGCATCTTGTACTATGAATAACTACAACGAAGGCATTATGCAATGTATTAGTTATTGTAACTGTCCTACTGACCTGTTTTGAACCTGTCTCATTGCTACTTCTTTCTCAATAGAATTAAGATTAAAAAACAAAGATAACTATTTCTAAGATAGAGGAAATGAATTTAAAGAAGAGGTAAAAAGAAACATTCAAACATCTCTTTTGAAGAAACAGTGGCTAGAGCATTTGGGGAAATAGTGCACGCAACCATGAAATCACTTTTGTGTGTGTAGAAACATCCAACTTTTTATGTGGGGATATGCGTTACACTCTTAATTACATGTACATAAAATATTTCTTACAAACATTTTTGACTCCTGTTTTCGGGTCTCACATATATTTTATATGCAGAGAACTAGTGACGAGATAAATGGTTTTGTTACAAAAATTTTTAGCAGCTATTTTTTGGGGTTTCTTTGTTCTTTTTGCATCAGAGGTCTCCATATGTAGCCTAGACTGGCCCTGGACTCACAGTGATCTTCCTGCTTCAGCCTCCAGCGTGTTCTACCGGGCCAGCTACTCAGACATTTTGCCTGCGCCATGTGGATGCCCAGACAACAGAACAGAATATCTTGCAGGCTGGATCTGGCGACGGTTCCTAACGGTACACGTCTCAGGTGCACAGGCGCTGCCCCTGATGAGGGGACAAGGCCCCTATGACGGGGCCCAGAAATAGCACTGCTGTATGGCCTGGCAGCACCTGTGCTCCAGGCCGCCCTCTCGGGACCTTAGAGCAGCACCAGGGCGGCGGCCGCATGTCGTTGTGCAGCACGTGCGGTGTTTACGTCCCTCGTGGAGCAGCAAGTCAGCGGGCTGTGGCAGCACTGTGGCCAGGTGGAGGCGCTGAGTGAGGCGGTGTTCAGTCTGCCCTGTGGTCAGCTTGGCTCCGGAGCGCTGCCAGGAGCGCAGCTGAGGCTGGGAGTCGGCCTCAGCACCCTTAATTCGGACAAGTTCGCGGACTTGAGGAAATGGGCAGTTGCATGGCGCCCTTTGTTCTCCACCAGACCGCTGGGCAAAGCCGAGGGGCAGTGGCCAAGATGGCTGTGAGCGCCCAGCGCGGCTGACAGGGCGACGTCACACCATGGCTTTCATGGTGGAGACGCTCGAGGTCCCCTGTGTTCCATGAGCATGAGAAGCACAAGTTTGTCTTCATCGTGGCCTGGAAGGAGACCAATGGAAGGTCCCATCACCTGCCACAACCGGACTGCACAGAGGCCCCGCGAGCCAGCAGGGGCGCCTTCATGGCCTGAGGACTCGGCCTCCACAAAGGCCCACAGCCCTGATGCAGCCCTGGAGCGAGTCCTGGCAGCATGGGTAGCCTGGAGATGCCCACCTGTGGCCTCTGTACCTGTGCTGAGCGCCTGCAGAGCAGACCGGAGGAGATCGAGGTGGTCGACGCAAGCTCGAAGTCTCAGCCGCCTGGCATGGAGTGCAGCAGGGCCCGGCTCTTTTTTCAGGAATGGAGCCCTGCCTGCCCATGTTCCTCAAAGAGCCCTTCTGTATGTGGACAGAGCTCTTCAGGGGCGCCGGCAAGATGACTGAGCTGGAGGTGCATGCGCTGTGCTACCAGCTACAGGTCTACCTGGGCCATGGCCTGGACACTTACCTGCGGCTGGAAGATACAGTCGCAGGTTGATTCACTGAGCCCGACGACCCCAAGGAATATTTGGTGAACCTCGTGGAGTTGTGCCCTAGAGGTTACTAGGAGGTGTTGCAGGAGCCTGAAAGAGCATCCAGCAGGTGAGGGCCTACAGGTCTTCCGGTGCCTTTGCCTGTGGCAGGCTGCATGCAAAATGGGCTTCTGGTTGTCTCCCCGCTTTTTTCTTTGGAGTGGCATGCTTTACATGGTCTGTGAGAACGTTTATAAGGTTTTAGACCCCCACCCATCAGATAGGTGTTGTGCAGAAATTGCGTTTACTGTTTAATATTGGTTAAAAAGGTTGCTCAAAAGGAGCTGTCATGTAAACTTAGGCTATTTGAGCACTACTGTCACCTCTGAGTTTTTTCCACAAGAACCCCATGGATAATAGCTCTTATTGCCTGATATCCTGTTTATTGACTCACAATAGTACCGCCATTTGGAGGAGTACATTTTATTAGGTGTTTATTCTTCTTATGCAGTTTGGTTTCGTGGCTGCATTTTAAGCTCGTTATTTAAATTTGATTTGGGAACTGTATTGCTCGAGGTGGAGCTCAGGGCTAGAATTGCTGGCAAGTGCTCTACCTCTGACCTTCAAGTCATAGGGTTTTATTGTTTCTTTGTTTGTTTGTTTCTTGAGACAAAGTCTGTATGTAGTTCAGGTTAAACTGGACCTCACTTTTCATGTTATTTCATTTTTATTTTCATGTTTTTGTTGACAGGGTTCGCTGCACATTTCAAGCTGGCTTTTAGCTCAGTTTGTAGCACAAACTGGTCTCAAACTAACAAGGATCCTCCCTCCTCAAGAATAATCCCAAGTGCTGAGATTACAGGTATGTGCCACCACACCCGGCTGGTGTGTGTGTGTTGTTTTTTTTTAGAGAAGGTGAAATGATGAAGTTCAGGCTGACCTTATAGGCCTGGCAATCCTACTGCAGAAGGTTTTTTGTTTTTGTTTTTGTTTTTTTGTACTTGGACTTGAACTCTAGACCTCATGCTTGCCAGGCAGGTGATGTGCCATGGAGTGAAATCCCTTCACAGCCGAAGTATCTCTTATGTATTCATGTATTTATTTTTTGAAAGAGCAGATGAAGCATCTTGAATGGGATTGTGCTTTGAGCCTTTGGTATCACACCTGGGTTTGAACTCACTTTATACTTCTGGATGGCTTTGAACTTGCTACAAGCTTCTTGTCTCCACCTCCAGAGTGAGAGTTTTGGGTCCAGGTTAGGTGGGTCTTGACTTCAGGAGGATCCTTTTAGGTCCAGCTTCTGGGAGTAGAGGTGTGTGTCACTGCGCTGCAACTGAAATTTTATTTTTGAGACAATTTTCCCCAATGATGCTCAGTGCTTTCCTTGATCTGGAGATCTTTCCTTGATCTGGAGAGCAGATTGGATTATAGATGTGCATTGTCACACCTAGCTCTACTCCAATCCTTTTCTATTTTTGAGGCAGATCTCACCGTATTGTTCAGGCTTGCTTAGAAGATAAGATCTCAGCTATCCTCTTGTCTCAGCATCTTAAGTGTTGGGATTATAGATGTGCACTGACACACCTGGCAACATCACAGTACATCCATTTAATTTCTCTATTTTTTTGATACTGGGACTTGACATGGTGCCCCTGAGCTCTATTCCAGGCCCTGAAATCTTTCTTTTGTTTTTTATTACTTAATGCTAAGTGTCACACACCATAATGTGTCATCCTAGAATATCAAGGATCTGTCCCCCACTCCTACCCTTTTCACAGTAAGAATTATCCCCAGGGATTTCTTACATCCCCAACCATTTTTAATGTTTGAAACAGTGTTGCCTAGTCCCTAAATTGCTCACACTGGGCTCAAAGTGTAATTCTTCTACCTTAGCCTCCTAGAATGTTAAGATTATGAGCATGCACCAACATTTTTCCTCTCTGGAGTGTTAAATTCTTTTTGGAAGGAAGTGACATGAACTCCTCTTGTTTTTTGAAATTGACTATTTCTTCCTTTGTTTATAGTTTTGAGTCAGGGTCTTAACCATGTAGCTCAGGTTGGCCTGAAATTCCCAGTACTCCACATCAGCTTCAGTAGTGCTCAGATGACAAGCATTTACCACCTGAATCCTTTCAGTTATCTACTTTCTTTATTTTTTGAAACTGTAGGAACAAAATTAGTGGCTCTTTCTATTTATTTCTTTAAATTTTATTGAGAAATGAAAAGGAGTGAGACATTTTCAAAATAAATTAATAGGACAGTTTCAATAACAATATGTTGCATATTGTTGGTTTAGTAGTGGTTATTCATCATACAAGATGCAGATATTATATCCCGTCCAAACACCAATAGTACAAGTGATTTTTCTCATTGAATTAAGGGAAAGTAGCTGTATATCTATCCTAACTATAGGTATATAGAGTTACAAAATGATCCTTCATGTTACCACCTTTTGTTGTTTAGTTTTGTCACAAATGGGGTATTTCATTGCTATGTAAATATTTTATGTGCTGCCAGGGAGATGTCTCAGTGGAATAAGTGCTTCCCTGGCAAGCACAAGGGCC